AGGCTCCATTTTTGATTGCACCTCATTAATAGCCTTTTTGATTTTGACTTGGTTAGATTTTAGTTCTTTTATTTCTCCAGAAGGCATTTCTCTAATATCTTCCATGCTTTTTTCAAGCCCAGCTAATATCTTTATAATTGTCATTTTGAACTCTAGTTCTGACATCTTACTAATGTCTGTATTGTTTAGGTCCCTGGCAGTCAGTACTGCCTCTTGTTCTTTTTTTTGAGGTGATTTTTTCCGTCTTGTCATTTTGTCCAGAGGAGAATAAATGAATGAGAGAAAAAAATGCTAACAGGGTAAAAACGACCCCAGAAAAATATACACTAAACAGATAAGAAGAGACCTGAAACCAGGGGTAAAGGAAGGGAAGGAAAAAAAAAAAAAGGAAAAGAAAAACATGAAAAAAAAAGAATATGATCAAATATGATCAGCCTGGTGAACAGATCAGTGCCACACACTAGATTTTGGGCGTATTTTCGTCTGTTAGAAGAAACGGTCTCCCAAAATTTTAAAGAAAGAAAAGCTTATATATGTACAAAAATAAGGGTAAATACAATGAAGGGATTGAATATGAGTGTAAAGAGAAAATTATAAAAGATTTTATAAAAGGAATTCATAAGAAGTTGGTTGAAAAGAGAAAGAAGAGAAATTAAAAAAAGAAAAAAAAGGGAGAGAATGTGATCAAGCAGGAGACTAGAACAAAGCCATACACTAGAGATTTAGGGTATATTTTGATCTATTAGAAGAAACTGTATCTCAAAATTTTAAAGAGAGAACAACTTATATATGTATACCAAAAATAAGGGTAACTACTATGAAGGGATAGAATATGACTCTAAAAATGAAAAATAAAAATGTTTTTTTAAAACAGGGATTGATAAAATGTTGGTTGAAAAAGGGACAAAGAAAAAAAAAAAAGACAGTTAAAAAAATTAACTGTGAAAGGCTAAAGATTCATGGTAAAAAAGCCATGGATTCTATGTGCAGTATTCCCCTAGTGCTGGAGTTCTGCCGTTCTCATTGATTGGTAAACTTGGTCTTGGCTGGCTGTTCTCACTGATCTTCTGGGGGAGGGGCCTGTTGCCATAGTTCCCAAATGTCTTTGCTGGAGGTGAATTGTCCCGCCTCTGCTGGGCTGGACTAAGTAATCTGCTAGGGTTTGCTCTCTGGAGCTTTTGTTCCCTGCAGGCTTTCTGTGCAGCTTTGGAGGATGAGAGTGAAAATGACGGCCTCCCAATCTCCACCCCTGAGGAGCCGAGAACTCAGGGCCCCGCTCCTCAGTGAGCCCCCAGAGAAAAGTAGTCAGTCACTCCCGTCTCCCCAGTCTCCAGCTGTACTCCGTGCTCACCCGGCCTGTGACCAAGCGTTTCTATCTCTGGCACCTGACACCGTGTGGAGTCCCCAAACCCAGCAGATCCCTGCGGTGCACTCCCGCGCTGCTCCTCCCGGGGGAGGAAGGGGAGTCTCCCTGGATCTGCCGCTTGTTGGGTCCCTGCTGGAGGAGCAGTGGCCCGACTGTGCTGCGGATCACGGTCCATGGCAACCCCGAGCTGAGAGCCCGCGCCTCGGCTCTGTCTCAGCAGCCGGCTTCCCCGCTCCGATACCTGGGAGCTCTGCCGCACTCAGTCACCCCTGGTCTTTCTGTGACCCCGAGGGTCCTGAGACCACACTGTCCCGTGAGGGTTCCACCCCCTGCTTAGCCACCAGAGTGACGTCCCTCAGTGGAGCTGACTTCTAAACATTCCGATTTTGTACTCCACTGCTCTGTCACTTGCCGGTAGGGGCTGGTGGAGGCCCCCTCCCCCGCTGTCTATCCTCCCGAATATCGCCTCAGATTCGCTTCTCCACATGTCCTACCTTCCAGAAAGTGGTCGCTTTTCTGTTCAGAGAGTTGTTGCTCTTCTTTTCTTCGATCTCCTGTTGAGTTTGTAGGTGTTCAGAATGGTTTGATCCCTATCCAGCTGAATTCCTGGGACCAGACGAAATTTAGGTCTCCTACTCCTCTGCCATCTTGCTCAGGGTCTGTGGTATATATTTTAACAGAAGCATTTGGTTAAACCACATCTAGAATCTCTCTCTTTTTTTTTAAAGATTTTATTTATTTTTGACAGAGAGAGAGTGTGTACAAGCAGGGAAAGCAGCAGGAAGAGGGAGAGGGAGAAGCAGGCTTCCCGCTCAGCAGGGACCCCAATGTGGAGCTCTATCCCAGGACCCTGGGATCATGACCTGAGCCAGAGGCAGACGCTTAACCATCTGAGCCACCCAGGCACCCCTAGAATCTCTTTTTAATCCAAGTCACTTCTGGAGAGTCAGATATTGTCCTAAGGAGACTAGATTTTCATGGAGACTATTCATAATCAAGTATTTCTGAATTCCGGAATAGTTTCCTAAAACCCAGTTTTATTCCTTACTTTTGGCTTTGCCTTAGGTTCTTGGATCTCGACGTGGACATAATTTTAGTGATTTATTCAAGCTCTCTTAACTTAGAGATGAAGAAATATGAAGAGGGCCACCTCCTTGTGTTACTTTAAAATGTATTGCATGGAGCACTGGGTGTTATATACAAACAATGAATCATGGAACACTACATCAAAAACTAATGATGTACTATATGGTGACTAACATAACATAATAATAAAAAAATCTATCCACAGTTAACTAAAAAAACAAAAACAAAAACAAAAAAACAGTGGTTCTCAAACTTGAGCATCAGGATCCCTTGGAAGTCTTGTTAAAATACAGATTTCTGGCCCTATCTCCTGTGTTTCTAATTCTGCAAGTCTGGGACGGAGTTTGAGATTCTGCATGTTTAACAAGTTTCCAGGTGATGCTCATATTGCTAGTCCTGGGACCACACTTGAGAACCGTTGCTTTGACCTAATTCCTTCTCAGACCAAATCAGAGAACTTCTTTTCCTCTTGCTGGTGAAAAAAATCTTTCAAATATGTTTAGATTTTTTTTTTCTACTTGATCATCATTTCACTGAACCTATGTGCTTATATTTTTCCAACTTTCCAAGAAAGGTACATGTTCTGGTACATGTTGCCATTTGTCTTTATCCCTTGAGTCACCAAGACCAGAAGTTCAGCCACAAAGATGAATAATCCCTTGACCTCTGTGCCCAGCACTCGTGCATTCTGGCCTCGCTCCTATGCAGCTCCCCATCTTGCAGCTGTTCCTGTGTATTCTCAGATGTAGGGGGCTAAGGAGGGCTCAGTCTTACTTCTGTAACATGTCATATAAAGTATCTGTCAGCTTTTGGTAGTTTGTTATGAAAGGTATGATTTGACTCCCAACATTTAAATATACTTAAAGAGAGCAACGCACTGTGAAACTCTACTGAAATGGGGTTTAAGTTTCCCTCTGTATATCACAGGAGCTAAATATGCCTTGATTTCAGCAGGTCATTATCTTATGGTTATTTTGAAAACTAGCTTAGGCCTGGAAAGAAGTTTAGAGAGCAGACACAGGTTGAGATAAACATTGACTAGGTTGGTCAATTCCCATAGGAGAAAGTAGAATCCTATCAGAGTAACCTGGTTCCGTTCAGCATTTATTGAGAGCCTGCAGTATGCTGAAGACCATGCTGGGGTTTGAGTACACAGAGATAGAAAGATGTATCCGCAGAGGCAGCCTAGCATCATGGTGGTGAGTGTGGACTCTGGAGCAGGTAGGATTGAATTCAAGTCTCATCTCCATTAATGATGGGCCAATATGTAAACTTGCAAGCTTGACTTCTTCTCATGTATGAAATGGGAATAAAAAACACCTACTTTGAATGTGTGTCCAAGTCCATAATGAGATAATGCCTCGTCTAGGTCTGCTTGGGCTGCCATAACAAAATACCATAAACAACAGAAATTTATATTCTTGCTGTTCTGGAAACTGGAAAGTCCAAAATCAGTATCTGGCAGGGTTCATTTTCTGGTGCAGACTCTTGCTAGCTTGTAGATGGCCACATTCTCACTCACACAGCCTTTTCTCCAGGTCCCCATGGAGAGCAAGAACAAGCTCTCTCGTGTCTCCTCTTGTGGGGCACTCACCCCATCATGAAGGCCCTCGTGACCTCATCTAACCCTACTCACCTCCAAAGGCCCATCCCCAAGTACCATCACATGGGGGGGTGGTTTAGGGCTTTACCATGTGAATTTGGTGGTGGTGGTGGGATGGGGGAAGACGGGGGACACAAACGTTCAGTCCGTGCCTGTAAGTTGTTCAGCCAGTTCTTGGAGTTAGAGAGCCACTCTGCTAACTTTCCTCATGAATGCTTCCTTCCTTCTCCAGCGTCTGCTGCCATCACTTGGAGCATTGTTGTAAAGGCTAGAAATACACTGAAAAGTTTTAACCAGCTTTTAAATTTGTTCCATGTAGCAGCTTCTCTTATCAGAGCCTTTGGGGATAAATTTAATTAGCAGAAACTTTCCTTTTTCTGGGTTCTAATTGCCCAAATACTGTCTTGAGCTCAGTATCGATTCCCACTTTCCAGTAATGTGATTGTAGTCTCCATGGGAAAGCTCTGGAATCTAGTTTCTCTAAGTGGATATTGAATTTAATTTGAAAATATGAGAATTTCTTTGGGTGTGCCTTGATGTGTTCATCAATTCATGATCCTGTAAATGTGATCTAAGAGTTTATAACAGAAAAGCGTTATGTACTTCTCATACTTCACTTCTAAAATTCCGATACTTCATTAAACTACTTCAGCACTGTGTATTCTCTGTTAAATAGGAAATCTTAACTGTGTCCATTTGTTAAGGTTAAGTTAAAAGATGTGCTTCTGTCTCATGAGCTGGTTGTCCAACCACAGTTGTTTTATGAGTGGAGAGAGTGGTAGATGGGAAAGCCAGGACAAGATAGAGAAGAAAGGAATCACATGCCAAAGGCTCCGAAGTTGAAGATTATTTCTCTGAAGAAAACAGAGCCTCACACCTTCCCCAGAATGGTTGATTCCCACTTTCACACATCACTGAAAATACCATGTGTTTTAATTCCAACAGAAAACCAAACCCTTGATGACGGAATTCTCGGTGAAGTCTACCATTATTTCCCGTTACGCCTTCACTACGGTTTCCTGTAGAATGCTGAATAGAGCTTCCGAGGACCAGGAAATTGAGTTTCAGATGCAGATTCCAGCTGCAGCTTTCATCACCAACTTCACTTTGTAAGCGACAGTCTGGTCAGAGACCTTGGAATGGAGATGTCTGTGTGGGGTGGCCAGGGTGACCCTGAGAGGATGTGAGCTCCACAGCCTTCAGGTGTGAGAATTTCTCCCAGCGAATGGTTGGGAGAAGGATGACTCCCTCCTTCCTGGTCTCCTTCCTTCTCTACCTTCCTTTTTCCTTTTCTATCTCCCTTCCACCCCTTCTTCTTCCTTCCCTCCTTTTCACGATCTCTTCTTTCATTCTGTTCCTGTCTTCTTCCTGCCTTCGATTCCCCTTCTTTTCTTCTGTCTTTCTCTCCTTCCCTCCACAAACAAGTGCCCACTCCGGGCCAGGAGCTCTTCAAAGTGAAGTGTGTACTTCTATGAAACAGACAATGTTGCTCGGCTGCAGAAATGGCAGTGGGAGAAATAATAAGTAAGTACACAAATCAATAGGTGAGATAATTTCAGACCATAGCGAGTGCTTAAAGATGGCAAATAGGACTGAGAGGGGCTTGTCTAGGCAGGGAGAAATCAGGGAGGTGGCTCAGAAGAAGCCATGTTTAAGTCGAGATCTGAATGATGAGATGGCGTGATCCCTATGATATACGAGGTGAATTATTTCATCTTTTCTTCTGAACTAGGAGGTAAAGACATGCAAAATAGGGTGGATTTGGGGGGTGTCCTTTTGGGTCTGGGCAAGATTCAAGCTGGGGAATCTTCATGGAAATTTGAGCAGATCTGATTTCCTCCTGGAGAATCCCAGAGGCACCATGGGTCAGGCCTGACTATTTGGACCTGCTGAAAATTGCCCTAGAATGAAATGAATGATTCAAGGATAGTGCCTTGGTCTGGAATGCATTCTTTCTGGATATCCAAGAGTCACATAAAAATATTTTCTAGGGTTGTCATGGTTATGAGATCCATGTTTCAATTTGTCTTGGAACTGCAAGGTGGTAACACAGCTGTCTCTTGTATTTCAGGCTCATTGGAGACAAGGTGTATCAGGGAGAAATTACAGGGAGAGAAAAGAAAAATGGTGATAAGGTAAAAGAGAAAAGGAATAAAACCTCAGAAGATAATGGGTAAGTGCCATGGAGTTAAGTAATTAAAATCCACTTCAGCAAAGGGCCACATTTCCTACTCCTTTGCCTACCCATCTTTTTCTCTTCCCTTCCTTCAAGGATTTATCTGCTTTTTATTGTTATCATATAGTAAGTAATTAAATATATATAGTTAACAGTATAGCAGGAAAGAGTTTATAATAAAAAGGAATATTTTACCACTCCCACTCCCCAGGTCTCACTTCCTAGAGACACCCACTTCTAATATTTCTGTAGTTTCTTTTTGTAGTGACCTCCCTAACTCTAAAACTTACAGTACTTTCTTGTTTTTTAAAAATTTCTTGATAAACATCAGACATTATCTGTTGATTCTCTGCTGTGAAGGAAGACGATTTAGCATATGTACAACACTCCCACTTTCCCTCTGCATTCCACATTTTCACATTCTTATCTCTTCTTCCATCAATGTAAGCCGTGTTACACCATCTTAGAATAGCCCTACTATCTTAAATGATAATTCCCTCTCCTTCACTGAAACCCTACCTTTCCTTTCCCATTTCCAGTGCCCATCTTTTTCTACATGATCATTTACTTTTGCGCTGTCAGAGTTACCAACATTTAAATTCTGATCTGTAATGACATGTATTTTCTTTGTTTTGTCTATAACTTGAATCTAAACATTGAAAACCATTAACTAGTATTTGAGTTTTAATGATTACATAAATGGCATTAACTGCAGAGCCACTTGGTATACTAAGATTCTATTTCCCTCTCTACCCATTTGAAGAAAAGTGATCTGTTCCCTTTGAAGAAAAATGATCTTGGTATCCAGATAAGTTGGTGTGAACATGTGACCCTGTTTTTGTTCCTTAATAAAAGGATGCAGTTTGGGGAAAACTTGTTCTTTAAAATCATAGACTGTCAGAAACTTTGCTGTTGGAAATCCTATTAGCGAGAATGGAACATCTCACTCTTGCCTGGAAGATGTGAGTCATGGGTTTACTTTGATACAAAAAGCAGCCAAGGTCCACAGCTTCAGATAAGGCATTGTTGGACACAAAAGTCCACATTTATCTTAACTTTGTAGTTCCTAAGGACAGAGAACCTCGAGTTTGCTTCTCCCTCCAGGCTGAGAAGGAAGACTCCCTCCACTAACCACTTTACACACAGCCCTGCTTTTTTTCAAGCCTCCAAACACTGTTTCATTTAACCTTATCTACACTCCACTTTTCTCCCAATCCTATGATATTACCCTATGTCCTCCTTTGTTTGGCAAGATTCTCCATGATGCCTTTGGTATGTAGTCTCCCCTCCTGCAGCAGTTTATTAAAATCTAATTTTGTTGGACTGCAGATGGATCCCGAGTGGTCTTTATTAGATGAGTGTTATGAAGATTATTTTTCACATTACAATTCATAAGTTGTTCATAATTATGCCACAGTTTAGTTCAGTTGGATCACAACATATGCATTTGTTTTTCCTGGAGTTTTTAATTGTCTCTCTTTTTTCTTATGACATAAAACATAATTTGTTACTATTAACATCTAGCAAGACACATAACTCTTTTGAAATGGTGACTAAATGAACAGCTATGACCTAGTTCTGCAAGCGATGACAATGCTACAGATGCTGTCATTGCAGATGCAAATTCTGCAATGCTGTTGTTGCCAACAGCAGTTGGAAGGCATCACTGATTGGGAGGTACATCATGATTTCAGAGCTGTCTATCATGGAAGAATGGTGTCTCTAGGTCCATGGAATACTGTCATTACTTTGCAGCCTTGTCATCAATGTTTACTCTGGGATTTCTTTTCATTTTCTTTTGGGTTGCTTTTATTACTCCTTATATTCCATAACTTCCTCTTTCTTTTTCACTTTCACTTTGCTGGAGTATATTCTAAAGTAACTCCCCCAGAATAGATGTATGAGAGACACACTTTCTGAGACCTTGATTAATATTTTGACTGTATATGGAGTTTAAGATTGAGAATAATTTATCATCCCAACTTTGAAGACATTGCTCCCAGTGTTTTATAACATCTGGCATTGCTGATGATGCATCTAATGTGGTCTAATACTACTCCTTTTCTGTGTTTCCTCTACCTGATGTTTTGGGAGTTTACAATAATGGGTTTAAGTGTCAGTCTTTTTTCAGTCATTCTTCCTAGCTTTTTAGCTCTGGGAAAGAGGAGTGTAGAAAGTCTGTCATCTTGGTCATTCATTCATATATGGACTTGGAGGTCTCCTTCCTGTATTTGGTGCCCTTCCCACTCACATCTTATGCTGAGCCAGAGCCTGCCATCTCTCTGATGTTCTGTAGATGGTTTGCATCTTGATCCTTCGCTGCAGCCCCTGCCTACATAGTCTGAGCTGTAGAGTTCTGGCTCTACTGGATTCCCCATCTTCCAGAAATGTTTTGAAGTGCCATACCCACTGATGATTGCCCCTACCACTCATTCCTTTGGTTCAATCCTTTACTATCCCTTTTATGGTCAGTCTGCCATCTTGAATCAGAGAACCTTCACTCCGAGCACTGAAAACATTTGGAATGGCTTGTATTTTTATATGCTTTGCAATCCTTTATTCTTTATCTTTACCCCTAGCCACAACCACCAAACTTTGCAAAGTGTAAAAACCTAATATATTAGCTATTTTAAAGTGACCTCAGATGTCAGGCTCGTTTGGTCATTCCAGCAAAGAGAAAAATGCAGTTCACATCTTGACTCCAAAACTCTCTTTTCCAGCAGTTCACCGGTTTCAATATTCCCTTTCCCCTTTGCCCCCTCAAGCGTGACTCAGGGAGAGGTAGGAAAGTTCAGCAGTCTTTGAATTCTGTACTCTTCAGTATTCCTTGAAACTTTGTAACCTTCCTCTAGTTCAGGTCTTTGCTTCTCTTCCCAATACTAATATGTAGTTTTTCTTCTAAGGACTCTCTTGAGAGGGTGGCCAGTGCCCTGAAGGGATTTGAGGGAACCTGGCTTTCTCTGACCGACCCTGTGTTCCCTTTTCTCTTCCTTACAGGGAGAAGGGGACTGATATGTTCAGAGCCTCTGTCGTGATTCCCAGCAAGGACAAAGCTGCCTTCCTCCTCAGTTATGAAGAACTCTTACAGAGGCGGCTGGGGAAGTATGAGCACGTTATCAGTGTGCGGCCCCAGCAGTTGGTGGGGAGGCTGATGGTGGAAGTGAACATTCTGGAGAGGTCCGGCATCGAGTCCCTGGAGGTGCTACCCTTACAGCACAGCCGGCAGAAGGACAGTGGGAGAGGGGAAGGTGAGTGTGATCGCCGGGTCTCCTGTGCTAACTCAGAGCGGGGCGTGGGCTTCAGAGAAATCTATAAGACAGAGGGCACCCCTTCAACAAAGGCTCCAAGAGTTGGCAAGAATCTGAAAGATAGCAACACAACAAAGGCAAAGCCCTGTACAGTTTTGTTTTGTTTTTTTAAAGCTGTTTCTATCTGGAGATTTAAAGATGTTTAAATCATTTGACACAGTAATCTTACTTCTGGGCATCTAATCCAGGTGAAGCATCTAAAATATTGGGAATGTTATACGCGCAATTCTGTTTGGTAACATTTGTAGTAGCAAAAACATTCTGTCATCCTAAATATTCAGCCATACAAACGTGATTAGTAAAATAGGGTTATGACAACAATGCAGCATGTGATGGGGAGGAAAAAGACACACTTGTACGCACTTTGTAATGTTAAATATGTTAAGTTTGTTAAATGTGAAGTTGACAAAAGACTAGAAAGTTCTATAAAATAATCCTTTTATTCTAGGGGGTGAGGGATTACAGGGTTATTTTTCTAAAAATCTATTTTTGAAACACTAAACATTTAACACTAACATACACATTTCAATGATGTATGAGACTCTTTCTAAAATTAAACAGTGAAAACTGTGTACTGTACATTTGATTGAGTGCAGGGACATTTTGGTTCATTACCAGGACCACCGTGAGATTTTTCTTAAATTCTGATTTTTAAAATCGCACTCTGTTGAAATGATAATGATAAATTCAATACAATCTAGTCTTATTTACTATATTAATTTCAGCTGATAGTTTATATGAAATGTTTACAGGTGTTGGGCCTTACCCTAAGTAGACCAGTCAGGCTTCATGTCAAATCCGATAACGAGACAGATGTGTCAGAAAGTTGCACCAGGATTGGACTCTCTCAATTTCGGGTATCTGTATCTGAGTCTGGAGGATCCCAAGAAGGCTGCTTTGGCAGGAATATTTAGGAATGAGATTGAGAAGAGAGTAGAGACATGACTTGACAAGGGGGAAAGGAGAACATTGTTATTTAATGTAATGTGAAAATAGTCAGGACCCAGGGCTGGTGTGCAGAAGAGTGAACCATGCGGAAGATGCTCTTTCCTCTCGCCAGCACACAGTTCTGTTCATTACTGTCCACGGGACAAGGAGTTTCATCTCAGAGACTGGAGTGTGTCTTGGTTCTGTGGGAAACTCAGGTCTTTTGTTATGTGGCCATTCCCAACACTGAGTTTGATACTCTCAATCTAGATTGCATTAAAAAATTAAAAATATTATCAAGGTATCTGACTTTCAGAAATGGTGTGAGATATAATACACCATTCTTATGTCCTAGAGGCCCCCTGTGTGTGGTTAATGGATTTTAGTTCAGCTGTTAACTAGAACCCTGAAAAAAATTACCTAGGCCTTGGAAGACTCAGCTTGCACTGTAAAGCAGGGACAACAACTCTTTCATAGGGTCATTGGGAAGTGTGTGTGCGTGTGAAGTGCCCTGTCCAGAGTAAGGGCTTAATAACAAAGTATTATATTATTATTACCATTATTACCTTATATTGACTTTTTCTGTGCAAATCTTCTCTCCCCTATTAGAGCATAAGTGATTGGGAAGGCAGTTCTGTGTCCGATTACTTTGTCTCCTTCCGGTATTTAACACAATGCCTTTTAAACAGTGGATAGCTAATTACGTGCTTGCAAATTAAGAAAGAGAAAGAAATACACACCCAAACTAATAACGAGGGATGTTTTAAAATTTCATTTCTTCCTAATCATCATCTCTAGGGAAATTCTCCTATGTTTAGCCATGTGAAGGAGGGATATTTTCAGGAGGAAGAAGATTCTCTACAAGTTGCTGGCATCTCCGAGAGGGCAGGGCCACTGTGGCCCATGTGTATGGGACGGGGCCTAGGGCTCAGCCACGCCTGGAGGCACTCAGCTGTGGGGGACTATGCAGGTGGTCCTGCTGCAGTAATGAAATGTATGCGCTTTGCCTCATTTTCAGAACCACCGCAACCCTTCCAGGGATGTTTATGAGTTGTGGTGTGTGTGTGTGTGTTATATTTGGAGGCCCTACAAATTAATGATTGTTAGTCAAAAAGTTGCTTACTGTTTTTATTCTGGGCCTGTGAGAATCTCAGAGGAATTTTTCCAGACCATTGACCTCTGGGATCTATTATTTTTAAGAAAGTTGTTTTCCTAGCTTTTTGTACCAAAGCGGATATATAGCCTTCCAAAGCATGGAGATTTCACAAGTATGTACCCAAGCCAGGTGCAGTGGACTGATTCCCTTTTGGCTGCTCATTCCTATCCTTCAGCACTCAGCTGTTACTGTCCCTGCAAAATGGCAGCCCAGCATGAAGAGGCACAAGATGTTGTGATTTTTGTCTGGACACTATTGCATGCTACCAAAAGAAATCCAGGGTAGAGATCAAACCAGAATCAGGCTTGCACCAGAACATGAGCTGTAATTGTGTGAATGTGGAGCCATGCCAGTACATTCCTCTCCTAGATCTCCCTGCCACTAAGAGATCAGACTTCTGGAATTTCTCAAAGCAAATCTCTGACCACTGGACCCATTCGCATCCTTAGGGATGTGCTTCTGGATTAGGACTACTGTGTGCTTGGTACTAGACTCAGCACTTGCTCTATTGTATCTCATTCAGTCTTTATAACAGCCTTCTTGGGTTGTACTCTTTGTCCCCATTGTATTTGTGAAGAAGCTAAGGTTTGCAGAGTTCAAGCAATAGGAACAAGGACTCATATTTAATTATTGTTAGAAACAGAATCTGAGCATAGAGCTAACTGACTCCAACTTCATGCCCTTACCCACTGAACTGAGTACATAGAAGATTGTAAAATCCTGAGGATGTGAGTTCACATTCCTCATCTCTCCCTAGTTGTGTAAGAATGAAAAGAAAGGCTCAAAGCAATAGAACTTGTCTTTGATCAGTTTAGTCATCTGGTATATTGGGATCGGGCCCAGAGCCATTACACCATAAATTCATGGGCTCCATCTCAGTGTAAAACTACTTCTGTGAGATCTAATTTGGAAGCCAAAGTTTTATACTTATTGGATTACTAAAATATTTATTATTATTATTTTTAAAGATTTTATTTATTTATTCATGAGAGACAGGGAGAGGGGGAGAGAGAGAGAGAGAGAGAGAGAGAGAGAAAGGCAGAGGGAGAAGCAGGCTCCCCGCTGAGCAGGGAGCCCGATGCGGGACTCGATCCCAGGACCCTGGGATCATGACCTGTGCCAAAAGCAGACGCTTAACCATCTGAGCCACCCAGGCGCCCCTGGATTACTAAAATATTTAACTCATGTACATGGTTCAAAATCTAAAAGATTATAAATTGGTTTCCAGTGAAACACAAGACTCTTTCTCTTATGCCCCCCACCCCCAGTTCCTCTCCCCCCTAAAATATTTTGGTGATTTATGAGCTCAGTGGGACAGAGTCTCTGAAACTAAGACTTTTCCTTGAACATCATGGGATGTGTGAGTCTCTGAAGGTGTATGCCAAGATAGATATTTCATGTATGTGGTTGGTTCAAGGCTGGTTATTTCACTTTCTGTGTTAAAATCTTGAACTTCCTAATGTTCCAGGGTGCCTAAATTACTGCCCTTTCCATGATTTCAAATTGCTTTTGGCAGAAAATTCTTATTTATGATAAGATCCCTGATAGCTGAGAATAAAACAGAATGAGATAAAGTAAGAAATAAGGTGTCTTGCCTGTTTTATTGCCTTTTGCTTTAAATCAATGACACTCAAACCTGGCTATACCCTTTAGTCACCTGGAGAGGTTAAAAAAAAAAGATACAGATGCCTGAGTCCCACCTCAAACACTTGAATGAGAATTTCTCAGGGTAAGGCTTAGGTAGCTGTATTTTTGGGTGTGATACTTTTATGAATTTATACAAGAAACCAAAAAAATATATGAGTGCTTTTGACATGTTTATTTAGTTGTAAAGCTAAAGAATAATGCTTATTTTTCTACCACTAAATAGGTATGGCTCTATGACTTTCATAGAGTTTCCCCTTTATATTCTTTGCTTTTTAAAAAAGCAGTTTTATTGAGGTTTAATTTACATAGCATAAAATTTGCTCATTTTAAGTATATAATTCATTGATTTTTAGTAAATTTGCAGAGTTGTGCAACCATCTCCACAATCCAGTTTTAGAGCATTTCTATCACTCCAAAAGATCCTTGTATCTCTTTGCAGTCACTCCCTGTTCCCACCCAGCCCCAGGCAGCCACTAATCCACGTGCTGTGTCTCTTCAGATAGCTGTAGTTTTAAAAGCACCCCAGGTGATTCTGATGCTCTATAAATGTTGGGAACTTTACTTTGAATTTACTAGCAGACTTTAGGGACATTAACTATGTCAAAATCTGAACCTACAGAAACACCTTTTAAAATAAGTAAGATTGTTCTTTAACTTTCACAGGACCCTCAGAATACCTTTGATCCTTATTAAAATGTATATCGTTCCTCTTTTCCACCAACATGTTTTTACTACTGGATACAGGCCAACATAGGATTACTCACACAGTTGGTGGAAAATAACCTCTTCCTGTATGCGGCGTCTTCTGTTCATCAACATAGATGGAACTTGAAATGGAAAAGTACCAACAGGCCATCCCAGTGGGGTTGGTGCAATCTTTTTAGTATAGTCTTGAGCTCCTTAAACTAGGTATCCCATTTTCTCTTGGAAAAGATAAATATGATCATTCAGTGCATTTTTGGGGTCAAAAGAGCTTCTCTCTTTTCCTTGATTCCCACTGTGACTTTCTGACCTCTTCTGCTCTTCCCCACTCTTCCCCACACCACAGTGAGAGCAGAGGCTCCTACCTTTCGAAGCCCGGCTTACTGTCCCGCCTTCATCCTGCCTGTTTCACACAGCTCCTTTGCCTGGCTCAGTGGCTCCCGAACATTGGCGCACATTAGTACCAACCAGGGAGCTTTTGGAGATCAATTAGCCATGCCAATTAAAT